ACCAGCTACACAGGAGGCCGTAGGTAGGAGAACTGTAGTCTGAGGCCTGCCCAGTGCAAAAATGTGGGAACTTACTTAAAAAATAATTAAGGCAAAAAGGACTGGAGCACAGCTTAAGGGGTAGAGTCCCTGCCTAACAAGTGTGAGGCCCTGAGTTAAAAACTCCAACATTACTACCAAAAAAAAAGGAAGAATCAATTATGTTCTAATGTACTCATCCATACCTAAAGAAAGGGGGGAAAATACACAAAACGTTAACTCAAAACATTCTGATCAGTACATAACTTACTTTTCCTTTATATTTATAGGAATTTTTTATTTTTTGGTGGTGGGGGCTTTTGAACTCAAGAGCCTCGTACTTGCTTAGGCAGGTGCTCTACTACTTGAGCCACCCCTCTTGTCCCCAAGGAACTATGCCATTTCTGAAACACTGTTCAGTTTAGATATTAACATTAATCAAACACATTTAAAAATGCAAGTATTAAGTTGAAAATAGCTTAATTATTCATCTAATATACATTATTTTCTTAATTCAAATGTTGCAGTCTGGTATACCCAGATGTTTATATCATCACAAATATCATTTTAACCATTTAAGGCAATTCAGAAAACCGCATCTGGTACTTCTTACATGTTTCCTCTACAATCACCACTTCTGCCAAAAACATCTATAAAGAAATCCCTCAAAAGGTTTGGGTAACAAAGCGTCTGGGAATGTATTTGGCTTGTGTTCAACAGGACATTATATGTTTTCTTGTACGAATCATGTCCTGGAAGACGGAATTTCTTTATTTAAAATAAAAACTTAATCATCCAGCACCATAAAGGTAGTTCCATGAAAAACCTTTAAGTTTCTTTTATATTTGTAGTCTTAAAACATGTTTTTATGCTTCATATTACAGTAAGTTTTACTGGAACTCATTTTATGCATTTTTCTACATTTTCTTTTAAAAATATTCTAAGGAAATTTTCCATTTTCAATTCACAGAACATTTTTTAAAAAGTAGTCACTAAACTTTCTTTTAAAAAAAATCAGTTATAGAGTCCTTCAAGATACAGTATAAGGTGGAGCTCAGTGGTAGAACACTTGCATAGCATGTGCAAGGCCCAGGATTTGATCCCTAGCACTGAAAAAAACAGTGAAGATACAGGTGTTAAGTGGCAGATCAAAAGATTTTTCTGGGCTGGGGTGTGGCTCAAGTGGTAGAGTGCTTGCCTAGCAAGTGTGAGGCTCTGAGTTCAAACCCTAGTATGGTTAACTCCCCCCACCCAAAAAAAAACCCCAGCACACTGTACCCCATAAATATACACAAGCACTGCCTGTCAGTTAAATAAATAAGTAAATAATAAAATATTTCAATTTTTTTCCAATGCTAGAAATAAATTTTATTGCTATAAAAGCTAACTTTTCTTTGCATACAATAAAATTCACTACTCTTGAATACCAGTTATTAAAATAACTATCTTGTGCTTTCTGTTTCAACTGGTCCAATTATTTTCACTTAAGCAGGAATTTTATCTCAAGGATGATGGGAGAAACCAACAAGTGAAAGAAGGAAAATGTCCATATATATAGCAAGACAACATATCTTTTAATGGTTCTGCTACAGTCTAGGCTTACATAGGCAAATATTTTCTCATCAATAACAATTCCATGGAAATTCTGTACTCTAATCAACTCAGAATAAAGACACTGTCCAATCTGCTTCAGAAAATACCATATTGAGCTTGAAAGAAAAAATATATGATGATATATGAAGTAAGTCTTTGGAATTGTACTGAAAAAGAAAACTTTCAGGTGAAATGTTGAGAGAATAATTTCTAGAAGGAAGGATAAAAATAATCCTTCTGCCAGTCAACTTTACCTAGTAAAATACGGTACCTAGGATCTTAGGGTTTCTTTTGTTACTGGGGGTGAAGAGTGTGACTTAGTTTTAAACAGTTCTTACTCTTTGTAGGTTAAAATCTCACTAGTGATTTAAGGCTTTCCTCAAGTTCCTTTCCTGAATGCGGAATGGAATGCGGCCTGACCCTTAATGGAACTAAATGTGCAGTCTGATGACTACTGTCTTCAGTGACTAACTTATGGCCTATCTATGCTATATGTCATTTCTTCAGCTCCATGAAAAAGGGATCCTATCTAGCACTCCACATAGCACCCAACATGAAGCCATCCAGTTGGTTTCCATTAAGTACTTAATGAGCAGTAAGGCATTTATCTTCATGTTTTTCAAACAAGGCCTGTACATTCAATTCACAACCACAGCTGCACATACATAACATTAACAATTATATACTTTCAGAGGGATTGAAATCATCCACACTGGACTGTTTCAATATGCAACAGCTCTCTTGTCATGTTTGACCAGACTGAATCATCTTATCTCTGGGAGCAATGATGTAATCAACCATTTTGAATATGGTATCACTTTTAAAATGAGTTTCCTAATATTGTTTAAATGTTGAAACTACATATCAACTAATCATTAGTCTTCAGATGCACAGAAATAAAACAATACTTTGCCTCTACAATTCAAGTCACTGTGTACTTTGTCTCAACAAAAACCAATCTGTCTTTTTAAAAATTGTTTCTCCTGGCAAAAAATTTTGCTGTCTGGCCAACATTTGTGTTAAAAATAAAGTACAGTAGTACAACATCAATCAGCATTTAAAGTACTTAGTAACTTATGAAGGAAAATATACAGTGATGCTTTTTAAAAGGAATAAGCCAATCAATGGTTTATTTACATCATCAAGAGTGCAGCTTTGAGAAAATAAAATCACATTTATGTTTAGAGATTTAAAAGTGGTATTAACCACGTAGGTAATATAAGAAAAGAGATTGTTAAGACAAGTTATAAAGGCCAAGAATAATTTAAAGACATAACAGAATCAACTGTCTTTGTACTCCTCCCCTTCCTGTCCATGCCACACTTACTAGCACCTTGCCTGCCTTTCCAAATACAACTTATTATTTCCAAATATGACTTATACAAGCCTAATTGGGCAGAGGTTTCTCTGTAGCTAATACTGATTCCATAAAATAAGCCCAAAATTCCTATACATTGATGAAGAGTTTTAACTATACTTTTTATATGAATAGGAACCATGGCTACCTATCTTAGCAAATTTAATCAAGAAAATCTAAAAATATATTCTACCATTGGGAGTTTAAATGGGTGCCTGAACAAATACCAAATACTGCAAAGGACTGTGACCAGTTTTTATACAATAAGTTAAAGGATCTTTTTTTGTCTTACCATCATCAGCTAGGAATGACTCAGGTAGATGTCTAAAAGGAGATGTGGCCTTAGATATTACCATAGCATGACATATAGTACTGAATTGTTGCAGACCAATGAATTGGTTCAGAAATCACCTCTTTACCTCCCATCAGTCTAGCCCAACTCTAACATATGAAATCTTTAGTTAACCCTTTAGGTGCTTGGTGTATCCCCTCTGGTTTGCCATATATCTTCCAAATAATGCTGTAGTTTCACTGGCCTGCCATCTAACTAGATTGTTTTCCCAATAAATGCTGCCTCTGGCTAAGACAGCCATTTTAACAGTGAAGGCACAGTGTAGAGGACACCACCATATCTTCAGAGGAGATGGAGCTATCCAGAGCAAACGACAAGTCAGACTACTGAAATTCTTGACATGAGTACAATAAAGTGCAAAGATCATGAACTCTGCTTACGGATAGAGAGATTAGAGTTCAAATCTCAGTTCCTTTAGCCTACAAAATGGAATACCATTTACTTTTGGACTGTTTGCGAATGGCAAATGATAAATAATACAGTCTACATCATGTCAACTACGCAAAATATATACTCAGTATATATTGTTTCTTTGCTGCTCATTTCCAGGTCCTCCACTATTTCCTAGGCTTGGCCAATTTTTACCAAGTAGAGGGCTCTCAAGTTGGGAAGTAGCTTGCCTCAGAATCAAATTATTCTGAAGCCAGCCTCCTTACAACTACCTTATTATTTTGTTTTCTGGCTTTTGTATTCCTAGGAATCTCCCATTTTCTGTCTTCCACTGGATTTAGGACAAGTTACTTACATGTGTCGTTTGCTATCCATGCTTTAGTGGTTCTTGCCTGCTTGCATCCTTACTGTTCAAGTCATTGATACTGTTTTGACACTATCTGTGCTGTTCCACCTCCTTGTACTTTAACCTATTTTTAATTTCTGGTAAATGAGATGCCCTTCTTAATTCCTTAACTGTGTGCCCTGTTAGACCCATAAAGTTGATGCATTTCCAGGCTCTATTATATCACCTTTAATCATTATCTACTAAATGCAGCCCTAGAATAGATTCAAATTTCCTGGTTACTACTCAGTCAGAGATTAAATGAGGACATGACATTGTGCTCAGTTGTTGGGTTCAACAAAACACTATGAACCACCAACAACTGAGTGTTTCAATTGTTATCAGTTGAGGGTCAATTGGTAATTTTAAATACAGGACTTACTCTAGGGAATAGACAGGACTTATGAGTTACCTTACAAGCATGCAAAGCAAAACAAAACAAAATGTGTGTAAAGCCCCATCTGCAATCATGGAAATCTAGTTAGTTACACCTAGATATTAATTTTACAAAAAGTTAAGTCTTTTACTTGAGAATATTGCCTTGTCTAACAGATTAGATGGGTTCAGACTCACATGAACTGATCAGGGCAAAGTCATAAACATAAAAGTTGGATAAGTCACACCCCCATCCCCCACCCCATGTGATGATTAACCGGGTGATAATCAACAAAGATGGCAATGTCTCAACATCCAGGAGAACTAAGTGGACAGCAAGGCTGTTAGAATGACTAATTTCACTAGAATTAGATGCAAATGAATGCAAATCAGCCATGGGAGATAGAAATAGAAGTTACCCAGCAATAATAGTGGGTCTCTCATAAATGCCAATGCATTGGTGGAAGAATATATTTGATTCAACACAAGTACTGGAAACAAAGGAGACAAATGAAAAGGAAAAAACCTACTTTGTTTTCTAAGTTCTTCAATCTGTTCTTCCTTTAGATCTAACTGTTCTGTAAGTCTTGATGCTGAATCTAATGCAGCATTTGCTTCATCCAAACGTTCCTGAGGGAGGGAAGTTTATTAAAAAGCAGTATGCAAAAACTGTTCTACAATCTATGGGCTAGAAAACATGTTAGAATCAAACCCTTACAGCTCAGTTGATGATCTGGGCAAGTTCATGTTAACTAAAAAGTATAAAAGAAAGAAGCCATACCCTTTCAAAATAAGCATTGTCTTTTTTAGAAAAACTAAAAAAGAGAAGATGCTACTAAAAGACACTTGAGGAAAGTGAAAAAAGTAACAACAGACCCAAAAGTAAAAAGATACAAAAAATTAAGAAATATCAGCACCAA